CCCCGCCCAGGGGCCATGCCTTAAAACGGACATCTTCCCACTCTGCCTGCCCCCACCAAACACACATGGCAATTGCCAAACAGAGCGGGAGCTGCTTCAGAGGGGCAATGGTCAACACGGGAGGGAGGGAAGGAAGGACCCCAGACACTGACCTGGATGGCATACGCCATGGCGAGGCCCGCATAGGCTGGGGGGATCTGCCCGTGCATGAGGACAACCATCAGCCCCGTGGTGGTGATCAGCGCGATGCTCATCAGATCCAGCCGCACGGCCAGCCATCTCATCGCACACGTGAACAGGAATAACGGGGCCTGGTTGTCATCCAGGAGCTCCTGGTACCTGTGAGGATGACAGACAGCTGGCCGATTGGCAAATGCGGTAGGTCCTACACGAGCCTGGCCTGTGGAGGAGACGCTGAGGAGCTTCCTGCTTCTGCCTGGGAGAGTGACTTGGGAACATTAGGAGGGCAGGAGGTCCAGGCTTTTCTCGGGGTGCGAGTCTTTCTCGTTTCACTTTCAGAGACACAAGCTGAAGGGTAAAATATTCCACTGAACGACGCGAAGGGAGGATGGCAAAGACCATGGAAGGATGCTTGTGCTCAGCTTAGCAGATGGCGGAGGTCAGAAGTTATTTCCCCGAAAAAAGAGAGAAGTCAGAGAGGCAAACGGCAGAAATGGTCCCACCGAAATCAACCAGACACCCCGCTATTCAGTCAGTTCTGACTCACTGCCACCCTCTAGGACAGGGGGAAGTGTCCATGTGGGTTCCCAAGGCTGTCATGTTATGGGACTCGTAAGCCTCGCCTTTCTCTCCTGGAGTGGCTGATAGTTCTGAACTGCTGACCTCTTGGTTAGCCGCCCAACACACAACCACTGTGCCTCAGGTGGCACAGGAGAAATCTGAAAGTTCTGCAGACAAATGGTGCCTGCTTCCTGGGTGGTGAGCTCAATCAGAGCAAGAGAGGTTTAACAACTCCTGCCACTGAAGGAGCAAGGAGCCTGGTGGCACAGTGGTGATGTGCTCAGTCGGTTGGTAACCAGAGGGTCAGCAGCTTGAAACCACCAGCCGCTCCGTGGGAGAAAGACGCTTTCTACTCCATGAAGAATTACAGTCTTGGAAACCCACAGGGGCAGTTCTACTCTCATCCTACAGCAGGGTCTCTATGAGCCGGCACTGACGCGATGGCTGGGAGCTTGAGTCCCGGCGTACTGGAGGAGCCAGGCAAGAGGGGGAGCTCCTGAGAAGGAGACCCACTGTCACAGGGTCCTAGAGGGCAGCCCAGACCCACCGGAGGCTCAGGGTGCCTGCCACACACCGTTCCAGAGCAGGAAATCTTGCCAATCAAGTGCCTCTTGCTAAAACAAAACTAGACCACCCCCACACATAAAACCCCACATTCAGTGATCTCACCCCCCCAGTTAACAGTGGGTTCCTATCCTGCCGCAGCACAAGACACACGCTCAGTGCAGTTCTTCTGAAAGTGAGACTGTTTTCCCCAGTTGCTTGACATTTTCTGAAAAACCAAGTTTGTGTTTTTGGCCACTTTCGTCTACATTGTCTTTTCAAATTAATCAATTGATTTTTGGAAGGGGTAATATATGCACAGAAGTTTTTAAAAAAACATAAAGACTTTATCAAGAAAGTCTGTCTTTCTTTCATCCACCTTTGAGCCACTCAGTCTCCCTCTTTCAAGAGATCATTCTCAGTCAGTTCCTCTCGATCCCTGTCAGAGCTCGCATAAAGGTGAGACGCGAGATGCACTTCACTGGCAGAGTACCACGTCCATGTGGCTGTACTGTGCTTGTACACTACTGGGTCACAGAGCTGACGTCTGTGGGCAGTCTCTGGGCCTTTTTGTGTTTTCAAAGTGACATCTTTTTTGTTTGTTTTTAAACACGTTAAAGACGTCTTTTACAGATTTTCCTATACTATGGTTTATGTAAACAGTTAAAGGGCATCTGGGTTACTCTCATTCCCTTGCTCCTTAAGGACTAGCTATGTATGTACGCTTTTCAAATAAACAACTTTTAACGGCTAAAAAAAATGCCGGGCTAATGTCAAGGATTACCTTTGACTATTAAAAAAAAAAAAAAAAGCAAACAAAGCCACTCAAGATTGACAACATGGATTCCAAACCCGTGTTTAAGAAGGAAGTCCTAGCAGTACTAACGCACATTAGTCAGAGACCATACCTGCCTCAAGACACTAAGGCACTAGTGACCTCTGAAGAGCTCTTTACTACATGCCTGAGGTGCTGCTGGCTCCCCTTGCAGCCCTCTTCCCCGCTCCCCGCTCCAACACTGACCTGTGGAGAAACTCCTGCCCCTTGTCGTAGGCATGGATGGTGGCAAGGCCCTGGATGCTGGAGGTGATGTGCGAGAGGAAAGGGGACTGCGTGATATTGTCCAGACGCTTCAGTTCTCGAATGAAAACCCTGGAGAGCAAACCAGTCTTGTCTCAGAGCGCTCGATCAGCACCTCGGGCTTCACCCTCGTCCCAGGAGACAGGAAGACACCCTGCTTACCTGGAGACAATGTGGAGCACTGCAAAGAGGAGGAGGAGGGGTCCCACTGCCACGAGTAACCACGGGAAGACACTGGCAATCATCCCGACACAGAAGACAACGAAGATGACGTTTTGGATGAACATCTCGGCCTGGAACGGCAGGCGCACGTCGACTGGAGGGCCACAAGGAGAGGGTCAGGTCAGGGGCTCAGACAAGGAACATGGCGCCCAAAATGAACGCCAACAGGCAGGGGCTCCACTCTGGCCACTGTCAATGAACATTTGGATCAAGGACTCCATAGGAAAAAGCCTGCGCGGGAATCCAGAAGTTCAAATTCTAATGGAAGTCAGACTTTCTGGAACCACTGAAGACAGAGGACCCCTGAAAATATTGCTGAGAGAAGCAATAAACACTCCCTGAAGCCCTCTTCAAACCAGTGTGTAGCTTAGTTCGTAAAGCAGATCTGCCCTGAGCACTGAGCGCTTTAAAGAACTATGTTTATGGAAGCCTTGGTGGCGTCGTGAGTTAAGCATTGGACTGCTACACCAAAAGGTCAGCAGTTTGAACCCACAATGATGTTCCCTGCTCCCATAACTACTTAAAGTCTTAGTCGGACACAACAGGGGCAGGTCTGCTCGATCCTAAAGGGCTGCTATGAGTCAGAATCAACTCAACAGCAGAGAATTTGAAAAAAAAATTTTTTTGTAACTCTATGGGATCAAAAGGACAACAGCAAATTAAGAGATTAAATAAGAAGATAAGGGCACAGTGACTGCATGTTAATGGAGTGACAGGGGTCACAACCTCAGCAATGTCATCAATGTTACGTAACTGTACATGTAGAAATGTTGAACTGGGGTATGACCAGGTGTGTATATTTTCAACAGCAATAAAAAATACGGAGAGAGAGAGATTGACTCTTATTCCCATACCATCTCTACCCTCACTCTCCGGGCACCCTCTTTAAACACCTTCTTTTACAAAGTAGCGTGTGCCTGCTGTACAGTATTTGGGAAATTAGTGCACAAGAAAGAAAACAGGAACCATCTATATGTTTACTGATCTCAACAAACTGATTCAAGACATTGCTCTTCATGGAAATCTTTAAACAGATCCAGACATTGAAAAGGGAGGAACCCTCATCACTTAACCCTTTTTCATTATCTCTTTTTGGTCATCTGCACCCCCCCACCCTATTTGCACACACACCCTTATTTATACATTATAGATAGATTCTGGCTAGAGTATTTTCATGCAAACCCAAGACATGCTGATTACATTTTAAAAAATCTTTTAAAATAAGTTTTCTTTTTAAAGAGTTTTCCATATTTTTGAAAATTGTGCAGACAATACTGAGTCCCTGTACAACTCCCCTGCCCTCTTATACTGCTTCTCCTTATTTACACCTGGGCCTTCCTGTGGGAGCTGTTACAAATGAACCAGCACTGATACATTACTAACTCAAGGTCCCAGTTATTAAGGTGGGTGCTTTGTGTTGTACAGGCCTGTGGGTTGTGACAAATGTTTCTTGTCCACCGTCTGCCACCAGTGTCCTCCAGAACAGCCTTCTCTTTGCTGTCCCTCCCTCCCCAAAACCTCTGGCAGCTACCCGTGGTTTCACGGTTTCTGTTGTCCGGTGTTTTCCGGGATGTCCTGTGGCTGGAACCACCGTGCTTGGAGCTTTTCAGATGGACTCCTTTCACTCAGTAACAAGGATATAAGGGTCCTCCGTGTCCTTCTGTGTCTCCGTGGTTCATTTTTCTCTCCTTACTGAATCAAGCACCGGGTATGGAGCCACCAATCTGTCCTCTCACCTACTGAAGGACATCTTAGTCCCTTCCAATTTTTGGCAACCATGAATCAGACTGCTAGAAAAACCTCAAGTACTAGTGTTTATATGGGTGGTGTGTTTTCGTTTCATTTGGGTAAACACCACGCCATTGGTTTTATAATCACCTACCCACGTCTGCCTCCTCTGAAGGCTGCACAGTGCCCTTGCTAAATCATCAGCTCTGCCATGACACAGATGGGCTCAATGCCCAGCTCTGTTACCTAATAGCTATGTGATCTTAGGCAAGTTACTTAACCTCCCTAGACATCAGTGTCCTCATTCATTCAGTGGCTGAAACAATGCCCATTTCGTACGGCCACGGGGAGGATTAGGATATTGGGTGCAAACGCTCAGCAGGGCGCTTGCAACACACTAAGCCTGGAACAGATGTCAGGTGGCAATACTTGAAATCTGGGTCGTGGGGAATATGTATGTTCGGGGGCCTGGCAGTGCCCAGGCAGCATCAGGGACCCACAGAACCTGCCAGAGTTGTGGGCCTGGGAACCAGGGCACCACCTAAAGCAACTACGTGTGGGGGAACACCAGGGCCCCTCTCCCCAATGCCCCATAACCCCATCCTCCCCATCTTGTTTGCAGGCCCAGTAACACTGAACAGAAACGTCATGCAAGGCGGAAAAACTCAGGCTCTCTGCCAAAATGCAAGTTGAAGCAGAGACCAGGCCCAAGCTGAAAAGCCCCTGCTGAGAAAAGGGGCTGCCAGAGAGGGGCTCTCGGCCTCTAAGCACTGATGACGGTCTGCAAGCTGGGGGAAAGCCCTTGGAATGCGGAGGAGGGTCCAGGAGCTCCAGATCACGACACCAGGAGAGTGGCAAGTACCTTCATCCATGTCTTTGGAAAACCTGTTGAGGATTCTCCCCGTGGGGGTAGTGTCAAAAAACTTCATAGGGCTGCGAAGAATCTTCCGGAAGAGCTCATCGTGGAGACGGGAAGAGGCCCGCAGTGTGCCCTGAGGAACAGAACACACGGGGATCAGGCCAGCGACCTGGTTCTTCCCCTGCAGGACACCCCCAGAGCTCACAATACATCCCCACTGGGAGGGAGGTGGCGGACCGGGGAGTCTGACACATGGGATACAGGTCATCTCCGGGATGGCCTGATACAGGACAAGCCCCGGAGAATGCCTGTCACAGGACGGAGCCCGGCAGTCACCAGGGCAAGGGGAACCAGGGCCTGCCCACCACATACCTTCACGAAGGCCACCCCTCGCACGGCCTTCAGGAGCAGCATGGCAGCCATGGAGAGGGCGTAGATGCTGGCGTAGTAGTGCATGAGAGGGTTGTCCTTCATGCTGTCACTCACCACGGTCCTGTTCCCGACTAGGGTCACCGTGACGTTCTGTGGGTAGGGCATGGTGAGACCAGGCTCCCGGGGCTGACCGCAGCCTCCACTCGCCCCACGGGTTTCAGGACAGTGCCCCGGGACTTGGCTGCGGTAACCACGGGGCAGGCTCTGCCACCTCCTCCCCGCTTTCTCTCCAGCCTGTGGAGGCCCCATTGGCAAGGAGCTCCGCTGCCCCAGCAGTGGGCCACGGTCCCGAATCTTTGGTCATTGTTCCTTCTGTTTGAAACCTAGAGGTAGATTTTGTTTGGTTTGGAGTTACAGTTCCACTTAGGGTTAGGGCTTGCGTTAGCATGAGAACCAGCCTAGGCCTAGTGGTAGGGTTACGGTTAGCTCTAGGCCTGGGGCTTGGAGAGGATCCGGAGAGACGCCCACATGCCCCGACAAGTGATTTCCCCATGACGGGAAGCCTTACCCCACTTCCTTGCTTGATCCAGTAACTCAGCCACCAGGTGCTGAAGGCAGTGCTCCCCACATTCAGTACAAAAAGGGATATGATGACCAGGAAGGCCAAGGGGCCGCCTGCAGCCTGGATGTAGGCGCCATAGACAGACCAGGGCAGTGAGCCCCGCCCCTTCTCCTCGGCCTGCACCAGCTGCCCTAGGGAGCGGACAGAAACTTGAACTCAGCAGGTAAGGGCTACTCTGCCCAGAGCCAGCCGCCCAGAGGGCAGCAGACGCAGAGAGCCTGTCGCTGCCCCGCACAAGGCTCTACACCTTCCATCAGAAGCCCTTTAGTGCTTACTGAGCTCCAGCAACCAGGCCCAGGAGGAGGGCCCGGAGCAGGAGAACAGTCCCTGCCGGGCAGACAGATAGACACTCCCTCTCACAAACGAGATGGGTTACACGCAATGCAATGACAAGAATCCTCTTCAAGGCAGCTGGGGGACACCCAGGAGGGGCAGTGCAGCGCCACGAGAGGGAGGTTTCCTGAGCAGTCCACACTGCACCAGGAAAGACACTTCAGAGCCAAGCCCCACTGCCACTGAGTCGATTCCAACACATGGCTTCTGAAACTGTCTTTAAGGGCTCCCTCAGGGTGACTGGTAGGTTTTAACCACCGACCCTCTGTGAGCTGCCCGTGCTCACCCGCAGCACTACCAGGCAAGACCATGACCGTGAGCGGAGGCAGGGCACGGAAGGTCTGGATCGTGAACACAGCACAGAGCACTAAACTTCCCAGGAGCTCGGGGATTAGCAAGCGATATGGGGAATGAGCAGGCTTTGGGCAGAAGGCAAGCTCGGGTACGTGGTCAGGCACCTAGGGGTGTCTTGAGCACTGTGATTCCACCCCTCAGCAGGGGAGAGACCCACGGAGACCCGGCTTTGAGACCGGGAAGGCTTTCAGGCTAGGGCGAGTGGGGCTGCCTGTTTCGGCCTGCTCTCTTGGCGGTGCGCAGGACTGGCTCACAGAGCCGCCAGGCAGAGGCCCTGACAGGGGAAGGTGGGAAGACATGGTGAGGGGTCTCCCTGGGGGCCCGGTGGTGCTGCCGCCGCACAGGGAGCCTCTGCGTGGTGCAGTGGTGAAAGGCCAACGGTTCGCAGCCACCAGCTGCTGGAGACGAGGAAGCTGAGGCTGTCTGGCCTGCTTCTATGGAGAGGACAGCTTGGAGCTCTGTGGGGGCAGCGCTACTGTTCTGCAGCGTTGCTGTGAGTTGGAATCGGCTTGTTTTT